AAATATAAAAATACTTTAATTATTTATCTTTTTTATTAAATAAAATCACTTAATATCTAAGTGTAAAAAGTAAGGATATATTGGATATATATCTTTTAGAAAAAGAAAATATATCTTTAGTTTTTTAAAATTAATTATTTTTTTCATATTAATTAATAATATTTTAAATAAATAAACATTATATTTATTAAAAATAAAATTTTAATAATGTCATTTATAATTAACATATATATATTTTTAAATTAAAAATAAAAATATTGTTAATAATATAAATTATGATAGAATTATGTAAAAAGATGTAATACATTTGTTAAATATTTAATTTAAATCAAAAAATGCAAGTTATAAATTGTTTAAAAGTATAATTAAATAATTTTTTAATTAAATATTAGATAATATTATATCTATTATAAATATATTATATTTTTTTATAATATTATAATTATTAAAATATATTAATAAAGTTTAAAAAAATTTTAATAGGAAAAATTATTATTATTTTATTTTATTATTAATATTTTTATGATTATCATAATTATAATTATTATTATAAAAATTATTATTATTATTATTATTATTATTATTATTATTATTATTATTATTATTATTATTATTATTTTTTTAAATAAAAATTATATTTATACATATATGTTTTATAATTTTTAAATAATATATATATATATATATATATATATATATATATATATATATATATATAAATATATATATATTCATAAATAAAAATAAAATTTTTATATATATACATATTTATATTATTTATCATTTTTTTTTAATTTTACTTTTTTTAAAAAAAAAATACATTTTTTTTATTATTATCAAAAAGCTATTTAATTTGTATCTATATATATCTATAAATATATCATTTAAGCTTGTATATTTTTAAATACATTTATTAAAAATCCACGATAAAATCCACCTATACTTTCTTATTTCCATATTTTTTATATGCAATCAGATATTCCTTTATATTCCTAATAGAATCCAAATCCTCCATTAATCATTAATTTTTTCCTATATTAAAAAAAATATATTTTTTATGTATATAAAAATAATAGATTACTTAATAGTATCTAAAGGATATGTTACAGTTGATGAAACAGATCCTGAAATTCCTGCGAAACCTATAAATTTGAAAATTGGAAAATCTTAAAAATTATCATTTGTTCGTTCTATTAAAAAATTATAAGTAAGTTAAGAAGTTCCATAATAAAAGAACAAATGAATATTATTAGCAAGAAATCCTCTATAAAATGATGATATTCCTTCTTGTTTAGATAATTTTCTAAAAGTATCCCAAGATCCATTAAAGTATCTTTATTAGGTATAATCGGATTGTTCGCAAATTAATCTCATGCGAATATTTTCGAAAGGAAAAGTGAATAATTAAACAATAAAAACAGAAAAAAATCCACCTAAAATTTTTTAGCTTATATATAAAAAATTCTATATTTTTTTATTTTATTTCAGGATTAAAATATATATTTTTATTACATTATTTTATTAATTTTCATTTATTTTTTTTGAATTTAATCATATGTAAAATAACTTAGTATTTATGTATAAAAAAGTCTGTATATATTTGTACCATTTCCTCTCCAAAAACTTAATATTCCTTAAGTATTTTATATTTCTATTATTTTTATTATTATTATTTTATATATTAATATTTATTTACATTTTGTTAATTTAAAATAAGAATTTTATGCTTCTATTTATGAATCTTTGATTATATTTTATGTTTGCTTTATGATTTTTAATCTTTCAAATGGTGCAAATATTGTTGATTTTATACTTAAGGCACAAAAAGATGAAAATATGTATTATAATGGATTTTAAATATCCAAAAAGTCTATTTATTTATTATTTTAAATCATTTTTATTAAATTTATATAATTAAAATATTTAATATCCTTTTTATATAAATAAATATCTATATATATATATTATATAAATATATATTATTATATATATATGTATATATATATATATAGATATATTTTTATTTTTTTATATATATAATTATATATTATATAAATATAAATTTTAATATATATACATATTTTTTTTAATAAAATTAATATTCCAGTATTTATTTTAATTCTAAACTTTTATTATGTATAAATGTATTTTTATTAAGAATATTAAATCTTTATTTCATTTTTTTTTGATTAACCCAAATTTTATTTTATTTTAAAAAAAAGCCTGAAATAACAAAAATAATTTATTTATAAATATTTTAATTTTCAAGTTTTTAATTTTATTATTTTTATCTATTATATTATATAATAATTTATTTTGAAAAATTACTTTTATTTTTTTATTATTTTTTATTTAAATAAAATTTATAATAATACATATAATAATTTATTGTTATTAATTTCAAAGATATTTTTGTTTTTTATATATAAATAAAATAATAGATATATATATATATATATATATATTTAATATATTTAATATATAAATATTTTAAATAAAAGGAATGGGATGTACAAAATCCTTAAATAACATTTAATTGCCAACAAAGCATGTTTAAAAAGAAAAACAACAAAACTCAAGTGAGAATATGAGTAAATGTCAAAAAAAGCAATAATTCAAATATGAGTAAATAAATTAAGAATAATAATTGTAATAGTAATAATAGTAATATTAATAGTAATAATAATAATAATAATAGTAATAATAGTAATAATAGTAATAATAGTAATAATAGTAATAATAGTAATAATAGTAATAATAGTAATAATAGTAATAATAGTAATAATAGTAATAATAGTAATAATAGTAATAATAGTAATAATAATAATAATAAAAATAATTATTATTAGAAAAATATATTCAATAATAATAAAATGAAGAAATTTAAATACAGGAAGTATTCCATAAATAAAAAAATTATTTTAATTATTTTTAAAAAAGTTTATTTATTAAAGGAAAATTTATTCAAAGAAAAATTAAATAGATAAAAAAGTATAGTAAAATGCAAATACACACTTTCTAAGGGAAACATATTATAAGAAAACGATAATATTAATATAATAGAAAATTCTTATAATAAATAAAATACATTAAAAGGATAAATTAGTTATTAGAATTAAATATATTCGAATATATATACAAACTAAATTAATATTGAATAAAAAAAAATGGATTATATTCATAATAATTAAAGTTTTTGTTTTATTTATTTAAAATAATATATTATTTTTTTATAAAAAATAAAAAAATAAAAAGATGATAGTTTAGAAGATATATAAGAATTTTAAATTAACGGAGAAGTTGTTGGAAATATAAAAAATAATAAAAATGATGATAGTGATTATTTTTGATAATAAATAAATTTAGTTTATATTAATTTCTTCTTAATATATTAATAAAATAAAACTTTTTTAATATTTTTTTTTATACTTATATAAATATATATTATTATTTTATATTTTTTTATTATTACTATATTTTATTTTTTATATTATTTAAAATATTTTTTATTATATTTATTATTAATATATTATAATTTTTTTATTATTTTTATATAAAAAAAATAATAATAATTAAATGGATTACTTTATTTAATAAATATAGAAATCAATAAAATATTACTATAAATATATGTTTTAAATATAATATTAATTAGATTTATATATCAATTTTATCATTAATTTAGTAAATTTAATATATGAATTAATTGACAGTTTACATTAAAATAATATAATTATCTATTATCTATGAAAAATTATTATATATTCAAATCAAAAAAGTCAAATAAATATATTTATTTTTTGTTTAAACAAAAAAAAATATAATTATCCATTTTTTTGTACTTTAATGGATTTTATTGCTGTTTTTTTACAGAGATTTAAAACCGGAAAAATATTGTATTATATAAATTATATTTATTATAATTAAAAAGGTCTTTAGTCCTTAGTTTAAATATATTTTATTATTAAAAATCTCTATTTATATGATAATGTTCACTAAATTATTCTAAGTTTGAAATTTAATATGCTATAAGAAGTCTTTTTTAAGAATTTCTTAAGAATATCTAAGGGAAACTGCACAAATCTATAATAAATATAGAGTATATAGCCCTAAGTAATTAGAAAATATCAACAAATGCAATATTTAGTTAACAAAATTATGACTTTTTAATATTGTGTTTATGTTTTTTTGTACAAAGAGGATATATGAATAAGCTAAAAAGAAGACTAAGAATTAAATAAGTATTTTGAATTATAAAGAGGTATTTATTTTTAGATTATAACTGATATAAATTTTATATATTGGTATTTTTTCCTATTTATAATAATACATTTAGTTCTTTTATTTTTGTTTGAAGTATAACAAAATGATATTGCATTATAAATGTACTTTAATGAAAAAACATATATATTAATTATTATATTTATATACAATTATTATTGTTTTTGTTTATGAAATATTTTCTTAATTAATTTTATTTATTAATAATATATTATATATAGAAAAAAAACCTAATAAAAAAAAATTCAATTATAAGAAAAAAAAAATATAAAACAAAAAAAATCATAATAACATAAAATTAATTATTATATAAAAAAAAAATACATGTTAAAGTCATAAAATCCCAAAAATGATAATATATCAATGACATCTCAAATATCCCAAAAATCATATAAATATAAAGAAAATGATCCATAATATATTGGAGAGAAATAAAATTTAGACCGAAATTTAATACATGGTCCTAAATAAAATCGAATGCCTACTAATTGTTTATGCGCAATTATTTATATTGCGTTTTTATCAGGTATTATTGTAGCCGCTATTTTCGCATTTAAAGAAGGCTCTCCATATAAATATTCATACCCAAGTGATTCTGATGGAAATATTTGTGGAATCGATTAAGGTTATAAAGATTATAAATATGTACTTTTACTAGATGAAGGTATGAAGAATTCAGTCTGTGTAGAAGAATGTACAAAGGAAGTTAAATTAAATGGAAAATATGCAGCTATTAAATGTAAAGCGAATTCGAAAATTAAAACAAATACATTAGGCGAATGTTTAGTTTCCGAAAATAATATGGTGAAATCTAAAAAATGTATTTTTTATATTTTATTTTTTTATATAAAAAAATAATGTATTTTATATTTTAAGATGTTAATGCTTGCGTTTCTTTATAAAAAGAAAATGAATTATAAAAAATATTATAACCTTAAGAAGATTTTTAAAAAAATTTATCGGATTTTTAAAAATCTTGGCCTATAATGTTGTTTTCTTTATGTGTTTCTTTAATTTTATCGTATGTTATTTTTACTATTTTATTTATATTCATATTGTTTTTATAAATATAAGCTATATATATATTGGATTTATGAAAAAATATAGTACTTGTTTAACTTGGAGTTGCATTTTGATAATAATTTCATCTTTTTTTGTTTTTGGGGGATTATGTGTAACTGATAAATACAAAGAGTAAAACAATTTAAAAATCTATTCTTTTATTTTTATTTTTTTTTAAAAAAAAATAAAAATACAAAAAGTGTATTATTAAAGCAAAATTAAAATCAAAAATAAATGTAATTGATAGGAATCGCTAGTATATTTTTAGGTTCTATTTGTTTACTTTATATTATATGTAAATGCAATAGAATTCGAATGGGAGTGGCTTTACTTGGATGTTCTTCTAATTTTATTAGTGATGTATGTAGTATTTTAATTCTGCCTTTAATTTTGTGGATTATTTATGTTTTAATATTAGTTTTTTTAGGCACAGCCTGTGTATGGGCGTATGGAATTGGAAAATATACTAAGGATTAGGGACCTTATGAAAGTTATGAATATAGTGTTAATAGAAACATATATTTAATATTTATTTTTGGATTTGTTTGGATTAGTGAGTTTATGGCTAATTATGCATATTTTATTATTTCTTCATGTACTAGTATATGGTATTTTAAAAGAAATCAATAAAATTAATTAGAAGGAAATATAAAGTCTTTTATATATAAATATAAATATATATATATATATATATATATATATATATATATATATATATTTATATTTATATAAATTTTTTAGATCTTCTTTAAAATTTGGATTTTATCATTTCGGTTCTATTGCCTATTGTTCTTTAATTTTACCTATTTTTAGTATTTTGGGTGTTTTATTTTCTTTATTTTATGTACTTTTTTATTTATTTTTTACTCAAATAAAATATATATTTCATTTTTTTTAGAAATGTGGTAAAAAATTCCAAAAAAAAAAACAAGAAAAGGAAATCGTATAAAGTTAATAAGACAGATAATTCGAAGAAAAATCAAAAGACATATCTGATAATTGTAAAAATTGCTGTATTTGCTGTTCAGATTATTATGAAGCAAAAATACGCTTTGTATAAAAATCAGGAATAATAGAAGTAATTAATAAAAAAAATAAGAAAAATATTTATATTTATATAGATGGCTTTTGCTGGAAAAGATTTTATAAAATCTTGTTATGATAGTTACTATTTATAAAAAAGAAATTCATAATATTATTCATCATTACTAGGATTAAGTTAATTGATGCTTTTATTAGGAAAGTTATTTATAGCATGCACTAGTACTTTTATTTGTTATATAATTCTTAGTGATCATATTTAATACAAAAATGATTTATATAGTCCTTTTTTACCTACTATTTGTGTTGCTTATGCTTCTTTTACTATTGGAAATATTTTCGTGAGTGTTTTTAGTTCTTCTTCTGATACTATTTTGTAAATATATTGTGTAGATGAAGAACTTCATAATGAAATTAAAGAAAAAAGTACAAATGTTCCTCCTTAATTAATATAATTTTTAGAAAATTTCGGAATATAATAAAAAGGAGAAGCTAAAACATGAGAAAATAAATATATATATATATTATGATTTTTTATTGTAAAATAAACAAAAATAAAATTCAATTATTTAGCTCTTTTTATTTATTCATATAATCAATATAAAGTTAATTATCAATTATTTTATTTGCTTTTTTAAGCATATGAATTCCTTCTAAATGGTCCATTTCATGTAAAAATATTCTCGCTTTCATCCCATATAGTTCTTTTTTTATTGTTTATCCTAATATATTCTAATACTAAACTAAAATTTTATCCGGTCTAGAAACATAAGCCAAATATTCAGGAATGCTTAAACATCCTTCCGAATCTTCATCTAGATTTTCACTTTTATCTATTAATAATGGATTACATATTATTTCGATTTTCCTTTAAAATAATTTATTATTAGTTGTTATTTCAGCTTTTATAAATAATTTCATGTTTAAACCTACTTATGATGCTGCTATAGCAACTGCACGCTTTTCATATACACCTTTATTGTATCTTAATGTGTCAATTAATTTATTTATTTTTTATTCGGACTAATCCGATAAAGGAAATGTAACGTTTTAAGTAACTTTTTAATTCAGCTCTTTATCAATGTGAGAGTATATTTTGAAAATTTCTTTTGTAGATTACTTTAATTATTGCATTAATATTATCTTATAAAATAATTTATATATATATATATAAATATATATATATATTTATTTATATATTTTAGATATATAATTTTTATTTATAAAATATTTTTTATTAATAAACTTTTATTAAATTATAAAATATAAATATAGATATTAGTTTATTGTTTTAATATTAAAATTATAAGAATATTTTTTGCTTTAATATAAATATTACAAAAGATTTTGAATGTCAATATTTTCAACTTATTTTGAATAAAAATTAAATCAAATTAAAAAAAAAAATATTAATGGATTTAACTTATTTATTACTATTTTTCGTTTTTCATATATAAATTTTGACATTACTAAAATTAAGAAAGTATAAATTTAATCTTTTTTATTATATATATAAAAAAAAATAGTGATTTTTTAAATAATAAAAAGTATAAGAAGCCAATATTTTTTATAAAAATATAACTTAAAATAAAAAACATTTTTAAAATAATTTTTTTTTATTATGTTAAATTAAAAATTATAATTACCTAAAATGTATATAGATTATAATATTTTTATAAGAAAAATTATTTTTTTTATAAATTTTATATGAAATATATATGATAAAATTGTTATATTTGATAATAAAGAAATTATGTTGTTTTTAGTAAATATGTTTAAAAATCACAAAATTTTTAAAAATACTAGTAGCCTAAAGAAAAAATTATTTTTTATTAAAAATAAAAAATAATAATTAATAAAATTTTAGATATATATTCTTTATGAACGGAGATATGGAAATATCTAATTTATTTATAATTATGTCTTATAGATTAATAAAATAGTTTTATTTTATAATAATCTTTTATTTATTTTCTAATAAATCTCTTAATTTATAAAATTTATTTTATTTTTAATAAACAAAAAAAATATTGATATAATATAAATAATCATATTAAAAATATAAGAAATAAATATTGAAAAAACCTAAAAAGAATTATTTTATTAATTCTATAATTGTTATTTATTATAAAATTTATAAATATAAACTATATTTTTGAAAAAAATATAAATAGTATTATTAAAATTTCAATTATATATTTTATTTAATAACTTTATTATTAATTTTTTTTAAAATAATATTCTGAATAAAATTATTTTAATTTTATAAAACAATAATAAAAGCATGATGAATCCTATATACTATAAAACAAAATAAAAATAAATTTTATAATAATAAAAATATAAATTTTAAAATCAATAGAAATATATATATATAGAAAAATGATTTATTTTCTTTTTAGTATTTGAAAAAAAATATAAATTATATAATAAAAATAATTTATATATGTAAAAATTTAAAAATAAAATTTTAAAATTATATACAATTCTTATAAATATATAAAATTTAGTTATTTTTAATAAAAAATATTTAAAAAAATTAAATTGAAATATATTAAAATATATATTTTTATATTTAAATTTAAATTTTATATTTTTATAAATAAAAAACAAATTATATTATATGTATAAATATTAAATATTTAAAAATATAAAAAAATTATTTTTTATAGTAAATAGCCTCTATAAAAAAGCAATAAAGAGTAAAATTAATTATATTTATAAATTATATAATATAAAAAAAAATAAAACTATTTTATTATTTATATACAATAATAATTGTAATTTTATTTAAATTATTAACAATATTGTATATTTTTTTATATTTATTATTATATAAATTATTTTCTCTTCTTTTTAATATTTTATAAAAATATATATTAAATAAAAATTAAAAATAAAAAAAATATAAAAAAAATGAATAAAAAATTAATTTTCTCATTTTTAGTTTTAGCTTTAGTAGCTTTAGTATGTGTTTCAATGTATAATTCTGATAATTCAAATTCTTTATTTAAAAAAATAAATAAAAAATAATTAAAAACTATCACTTAAAATTAGACTAAAACTTATAAAAAGCATTCAACTGAATATAAACATGAAGAAAGTGATGATGACGATGAATACGGTAGTGAAGAAGATAGTGAAGAAGAAAAACACGAAGAAAGTGATGATGACGGTGAATACGACAGTGAAGACGATAGTGAAGAAGAAAAACACGAAGAAAGTGATGATGACGGTGAATACGACAGTGAAGACGATAGTGAAGAAGAAAAACACGAAGAAAGTGATGATGACGGTGAATACGACAGTGAAGACGATAGTGAAGAAGAAAAACACGAAGAAAGTGATGATGACGGTGAATACGACAGTGAAGACGATAGTGAAGAAGAAAAACACGAAGAAAGTGATGATGACGGTGAATACGACAGTGAAGACGATAGTGAAGAAGAAAAACACGAAGAAAGTGATGATGATGGTGAATACGACAGTGAAGACGATAGTGAAGAAGAAAAACACGAAGAAAGTGATGATGACGGTGAATACGACAGTGAAGACGATAGTGAAGAAGAAAAACACGAAGAAAGTGATGATGACGGTGAATACGACAGTGAAGACGATAGTGAAGAAGAAAAACACGAAGAAAGTGATGATGACGGTGAATACGACAGTGAAGACGATAGTGAAGAAGAAAAACACGAAGAAAGTGATGATGACGATGAATACGGTAGTGAAGAAGATAGTGAAGAAGAAAAACACGAAGAAAGTGATGATGACGGTGAATACGACAGTGAAGACGATAGTGAAGAAGAAAAACACGAAGAAAGTGATGATGACGGTGAATACGACAGTGAAGACGATAGTGAAGAAGAAAAACACGAAGAAAGTGATGATGACGGTGAATACGACAGTGAAGACGATAGTGAAGAAGAAAAACACGAAGAAAGTGATGATGACGGTGAATACGACAGTGAAGACGATAGTGAAGAAGAAAAACACGAAGAAAGTGATGATGACGGTGAATACGACAGTGAAGACGATAGTGAAGAAGAAAAACACGAAGAAAGTGATGATGATGGTGAATACGACAGTGAAGACGATAGTGAAGAAGAAAAACACGAAGAAAGTGATGATGACGGTGAATACGACAGTGAAGACGATAGTGAAGAAGAAAAACACGAAGAAAGTGATGATGACGGTGAATACGACAGTGAAGACGATAGTGAAGAAGAAAAACACGAAGAAAGTGATGATGACGGTGAATACGACAGTGAAGATGATAGTGAAGAAGAAAAACACGAAGAAAGTGATGATGACGGTGAATACGACAGTGAAGACGATAGTGAAGAAGAAAAACATGAAGAAAGTGATGATGATTATGATTATAGTGATGATGATGATAGTGAAGACGATAAACATGATAAAAAAAAAAAAAATGTTTTATCTAAAAAGCATTAAGCCGGTAAATCTAGTAAATCTAAAAACATTTGAAAAAAATCAAAATTTTCATCTATTAGTAACTAATAAGTTATTAAAATAATAATTTATTATTTATTTTTTGTATTTATTTTTTATCAAATTTTTTTGTTTATTTTAACAATTTTCTGATAAATTAAATATAAAATAATGTTTTAAAATATAAATTATCTTATTATATAAATTAATATATATTTAATATTTTATTATATTGTTTAATTTAGGTTTTTTATATTATTTTAAAAATTGTACTTATCATATATGCGAAAATCTTAATATATATATGTAAATCATTTTCTAATTTTTTTTTTTAAATAATAAGTTTAATTTAATATAATTTATAAAATACAAATTTTAAATATTATTTTTTAAAGAATATATTCATTTTAATAAAAATAAATAAATTATAATTCAAATGTTTTTAAATAAAAAATTATAATTATTTTATTTTAAAATAATTGTAAAAAAATATATTTCTAATTTAGATATTTATAATGTTTATCAAAAAATAAACTTTTTAATATATTATATTTATTAATATTTTTAATTATTTTAATATAAAAATTATTTTCATTATTTTAAATATTTTTTTATTTAAATATTTTAAATTTTTTAGTATTATGATTTAAAATAAAAACAAATAAAAAATTATTATTTTTATAATAATATATATATATATATATATATATATTTATTATAAATATATAAAAATTATTATATATATTTATTATTATTTTATATTAATTTTTAATTTTGTTTTTTTTAATCTTTACTTAATAAAAAAATACATGATTTTTTTATTTAATTTACAATTAATAAAAAAAAGTTAGAAACATTTAATTTTTAATAATACAATATCAAAACAAAAAAAATTACTAAAATAACATTATTAATTTTATTTTAATAATATCTAAAAATATAAAATCATTATTTTATATTAAAAATTTAATAAATATATTAAAATATTAGGATTTATTTTTATTTAATTTTCTATCAAGCCTTTATATTATTATATACTTATTTTTTTTATTATTTTTATAATTGTTTATTTTATTTAATTTTTTATATTTTTATTAAATAATTATATATTCTTTCTATATAATTATATTTTTTTATAAAATAAACATACATATAGTTAATTTTCTATATTATTTTAGTTTACATGTTAAAGAATTAATTATATTTTTTTATTGTTCGCATAAATATTTACATTTTATTAACAAATTTTCATAATTAAAAATGTTATTTTTAAAAATTTAATCTTTTTTTAACTTTTTTACTATTAATTTATTCATATTTATTTTTAAATTTGCATTAAATAATATTTATTATTTATTAATTTTTTTTTTATTATATTTTATTAAAAAAAAAAAACAATTCTTTTGTAGTTATTATTAATTTTAAAATAAATAAATTAACTTTTTTTAATAAAAATATATAAAAGCAAATTAATATATAATATATATAATCTGTTTTATAAATTCTTATTTTATTCATTAAAATGTAGTATGATTTAATACTTTTCTTATGTAATTTTTCGATTATGTTATATTATCAACTTTTTTGTAATATTATTACTTTTATTTTTACTCTTCATTCTAATATTCAGTATCAATATTTTATTTAAAAACATATGGTTCATCAATTTCATATTCATATTTAAAAACAGTTTCATATTTATTATTTTTCAATATTTATTTAGTTTATATCTTTTAACAAAAGATGCATATATATTTAACATTAGAAATATATTCACAATTACAATTACTATTATTATATTCATTAGTTTATATTTAACTAGTATTTTTTCTTTTTTTATTTTTGAATTGTTTTATCTTATTTTTTATATAATTTATTTCCTTTTTCCATACATTTATTTGAGAACTATTTCTATGAACATTCTTTATAACTCATTTCCTTATTAAATTTAAGTTTTTATTTATTTTATTTTTAATATTTTTTATATTAATTTATTATTAAAATTTATTTAAAAGGTATATAAGATATTTTAATTATGATAATTTCTGAGTCAATATTAAATAATAAAATAAAAAAAAAAAGAATTATTATAATAAATTAATTTATATATTCTGCATTAATGAGATAATTATTTTATCTATTTATAATAAATAAATATTAATAAAGTAAAATAAAAAAAATTAATAATATAAAATAATAATAAAAAAAAAAAAAATCATAAAAAAAAAATAGATTTAAAAAGAATTATTATATAAATATTAATTTATTAAAATAAAAAATTAATTAAATATAATAAACATATAATAATAAGAAATAATAATAAAGTATTAATAAATATAAAAATATATATATTTACTTATACTAATTTTTTATATATATATTTTTTTTTATTTATAATTTTATATATTTATTTATATATGTTTAATTTTTTAATAAAATTATTATTCATATTTTTATTTATTTTATATTCTTTTTTATTATATTTTTTTTTTTAATTTTAATGTATATTTTCTCCTTAACAACATATCTTTTTTTTATTATTTTCTTTTATATTTTTATTTAAAATACTATTTAATTTTGTTTTCTATTTCTTCTTTTTTTGAACGATTATATATAATTTTATTTTTATATTATTATTATATTTTTATTCTTTTTTTATTTTAGCTTCTATTTTATTCATATTATTTGAAATATTGTTTGTTAAGACTTTTTTTTTTTTTTTTCTTTTTTTTTTTTTTTGAAATATTATTTTCATTTTAATCTATAAACTTTTTTATTCATTTAAAATTTTATTTTTATATTATATTTTATAAACTTTTTATTTTTGTTATTTATCGATTTAATCTGTTGCTTCTTCTATTCGGATTTCTTATTTTTAAGATTAAATTGATACTCATATCTTTCAATTTTTATTTAACTATTAACTTGTTATTTTTATTGTAAACTTTCCTTTTTTGAGAGTTATTTATTTTTATTTTTATGATAGTAATTTTTTAATGCTTTTTAGAAATTATTATTTACTTCTAAATTATTTATTATATGAGAATTTATTTTACTTTTTTTTATTATTAAAATTTTCATATAATTTCTTTTTTTGTTTAGGAATTTATTATTTACAAAATAAAATATCATGATTTAGAAAAAAATATGCGATTTCTAAACTTCTAGACAGTCAGTTTTCGGAAAAATGAAAGAGTTTAAACCTTTTAAAATTTAATATTATTTTTTTAGTTTAATAATCCTTTTAGCTACATAAGTTTTAATATATTCGCTTTTATAAATTTTATCTAGAATTTAAATTGTTTATTTTTTAAAAAATTGAAATGAATTTTGTTTACTAATTCTTTGAGTAGTTTATAATGATTATTTGTATATTTTCAGATTTAATTTTCCTATAAAAATACTTTTTTGTTCATTTCTTTATCCATAATGTGTCCTTCTAGGGGGATATATTATCCTCTAAAAATTAAAAATAAGTACTATTTTCAAAAGATAGTGCTGACATATTTGAAAGTTTTACTTATCAAAACTAAGGCTTCTTAATATTTTCCTTATTTAGAAAGTGTAATAGACTTAAATTTAACTTTTTAATGCCGAAATTTTAAATTTTAAGGGATATTTTTTAATATTATTGAAGAGGCATAATTTGTTTCGTAATATTTTTAAGGTCGGGTATTTTTTATAGTTTTTTTTCGATTATTTTTTGGACTATTTTTTTCATTATATTCTGGTTTCATATATAGTTTTGGAAAAAATATTGGGCTTTTCGTTATTTAAGGGAATTTTTCGGGTATTAGATTTTTTTTTAATTTTTGTTTTTTTTTATGAAAAAAAAAAAAAATTGTGTGGATTTTAAAATAATACTGTTATTTTTTTTATTTATAAAATTTTTTAATTATTAACTTTTTGAAATATATATAATTATTTTCATTTTTCTTGATTTTTTTTAATTAAATTTTAATATCTTGAAGTCAAATTACATATAGAGTTATTATCATCTAAATTTTTCTTTTTATTTTGATTCATACATTCTAATTAAATATTAATTTTTTCTTCTTCAATACTTTAATTAGCATTATTATTATTATTATTATTATTATTATTATTATTAATTTATTATAAGTTTTCTTATAAAAACTCATATTCCGTGATATCCATATCTTAAATGTTTTCTAACTTCTCAGTATAAAACTTAAAAAAAAAAAAATTGAATAAAAAATAATAAAAAAATCTTACTTTTTATAATTTTGGAATTAAATTATTATTTTATAGAAGTTTCATAAACTAATTAAAATTAATATTTTAATTAGATTCTTCGATTTCGAACAAAACATTTTTAATAATTTCCAAAAGATTATTATCGATTTCTGATATATCAATATTTTATGAATTAATAATCCCATTTTTATCACTATCAAAATAATTAAATAATTCTTTTAATTTGATATAAAATTTCTACTCACTTATTCCTTATTTATTATTATTAACTTTTATATGACTAATATTCGAATAACTCTATAGTTAAACATTCGTAATATTCATTTAAGATTGAGAACCCAGACCCGAAATTTCAAAATTTATTTGACTTCTTAAAGGAGTTATTATAGGTTGATGATTTGTTCTTCTTTTTACAGGAGTATATGACCTGTTTTATGTTGAATTTATTTATTATCTACATTTTCTTGTATTATTTATTATATTTTCACATAATTATTATTCTATATATATATATATATATATATATATATATATTTATATATATATATAGATATATTTTAATTATTTACATAATTATTAATCTTATATATCTATTTTTTAAGAAACTTTTTGATAAATTAAATCTTTTGTAATTTAAGGCTAAAATAATTTCTAACCTGTATTTTTATCTTTGATATTATTTTATATATTTTATTAAATTTTTTAGTTTTTAATAAATTTTTCTTTATATAATCTATTTACAGTATCTTATTAGTCATTTTTACTTATATTTCGATCTATTTATATTCCTATATCAGGCTAAAAAGGATATTAAATATTAAATTATTATTAATTCCACTCTTCTTTATTAATTTTATCCACCATTCCTTACACATAGAGTTTTTCATGTATATTATTACTTACATTGTTACTTTTGGATCTCAATTAACATGCAATAATTTCACTAACTTTCGATAAGGTAGGTTTAAATTAGCATTCTTTTTAGATTTCTTCTTCTTTTAAGAGTTGTGCAATTGCTTTTCTTTCTTAGTTTTTTTTACCTTACATGATTAGATAATCTTCAAGTTTTATATCTTCTTTTAATTTTAAGGTTTTTGAATAATTTGATATATTAGGCCTAAAAGTGTTTTCTTACTTTTCCCTTTCGAGTTTTTTTTTTTAATAATCTTATATTTATTTTTCTTTCCTCATTTTTTATTCCACACCTATTTAATATAGTTTTTCATGTGCTTAATATTATATTTTTTTAGGTTTCTTTGTATTTTTTTTTATGTTTTGTTTATTGTTTATCATTTATGTCCATTTTTCGTATGTTTCTTATTCTTATTAATTTTTATTATTATTATTATTTAAATTATAGTTTATATTATTTTGGATGTTTTCTTATTGCTTTTTTTAATATTATTCCTTTTCTAATTTTAATTTTTGGAGAATTTAATTAATTACTTTTCTTCTTTCATTCCCATTTTGGATATTTTCATTATTTGGAGAAATACTTATATTTTCCTTTTGTTATTCTAAAAAATGCTCTTATAGTATTTATGGCTTTTCAGTTGTTTTTATTCTTTATGAGCTTAGTGATTGCTGGTGATTGTTTTTTTTACAGTCTTCTAAAACGGATGTATTTTCGATTTTTTCTTATTATAATTTTCTTTTTTTATGGACTTTTTTTAGTTATTGTTTTATTGTTTAAGATATATATTCAATACATTCACTGTCTAAGTCGTGTTTTTCACAAAATTCTTGGGCTTTTTCGGATATTTTGGAATTTTTGGTGATTTTTATTTAATCTGTTTCACCATTTCCTATGTCTATAGTTATTAATGCTAGTATTTTGGAATTTTTATTTGTTTTTTATATATAGTTATTTTTAAAATATTCGTTTTTGGACATTTATTTTTCTTTTATTTTTGCTTTATTTTAAATTAATTTTTTTTTTTTTTTTTAAATAAAAAAAAATAAATTATTATTAATATTAAAATATTTTTTATTTAAATTTTTTTTTTTTTTTTAAAAAAAAAAAGTAACACTAATTTATAATTAAAAATAAAATAAAATTTATATTTTGTAATTAAATATTTAAAAAAAAGGTATCCTTTTTCAAAAAAATATTTTATATATTATTAATTATCTATTTAAAATTAAAATTATTAAAAAGAAAATGCCTGATTATAAAAAGATTATATAACATTTAGAAAAAACTAGTAAAATACATTATATTTATAATAAATTAAATTAATAAATCTTAATAAAAAATGATATTTAAATAAAGAAAAATATGAACTTGGTCCTCGTTGGAAAATAGAAGAGTTAGACATATTTTTATAATGTTATTATTTATAGTATTATCATATAAAATAAATAATTTTTTTTTTTTTTTTTTTTTTTTTTTTTTTTACTCACTATAAATAGATTTTAGATAATATTAATTGGACAAACTAGAAGAAATGTAATCATGTCTTTCAGAAAATGGATATGAAAGATCAATAATTAATTTAATAAGTGTATATCTTTAAGTAAGGAAATATTTTTCTATATATTTTTTATAAAAATATTTTTATTAGAATAAAAATATACTTAATTTAAATAAAGATATTAATGGAATTTTACTTGAGAACATTATGGCTGATTATTATAAAAATTTGGATAAAAAATAAGAAGACAAGACCGAATTTAAAATTTAACTTTAATAAAAATAATTAGAATATTAAAATTTTCTACCAATTAAGAAACAAAAATAAATAAATGATAAAATATAAAAACCTTTAATTTAATAAAAAATTAATAATAAATAGTTTGATAAAAGGAAATATATTTTTAATTTATAAAATAATATTCAAGCAAGAATTAATTATTTCGAAGAAAACTGTTACAATAGTTTTTTATAAGAAAAAAATAAAATTAATATAAAAGTATAACTTACATTTTAATATTTTTATTAATAATAATTTAAATAGAGTATACATATTTTTTAAAGTGAATTTTTTTATAATTATATCGATAAAAATTATTTTGCTTAAAACGAACTATAAAATTTATTACATGAAGTATAATTAATATAAAAAAAAATTACTAAATAAGAATGGAATTTTATAAGAAAATCAATTGGAAAATAACGTAGATTCTCAAATTTATTTTTAAGAAACGAAAGACATAAACTAGAAGAGTGTAGAAAATAATTTAGAGTATTTTTATTTTATTAATAAAAAATAAAAAAAATATGAAATATTTATAGAACTAAAATAATGCAAAAAAATAAGATTAGTAAAATTTGAAAATCGGATAAAATATTTTAGCATTTAATCCTGTTTGTAAACATTTTCATTAAGGCTAGATTCTAAAAATTAATGGCGAGTCGATTTATATTAAATTTAATAATAATAATGATTAGTAAATTTATAAAGAAAATGATATTAGAATAATGATAATGTTAAATAATATAATAAAATAAATATAAACATATAATGTTAAAATATATATAAAAAAGAGGAAATAATTAAGAAGAAAATAATATAAATAATGCTCAATGTTCTATTGAGTAAGAACAGAATAATTAAATTATGGAAGATTTAGATTTTTTTTCAATGTCATTTTTAATTAAATTATTAGAAAGGTAATAAATAAATAAAAGAAATAAAAGTTAAATAAATAAAAAAAACATATATTATATATTTTTTATTAATTTTTTTAAAAATAATAAAAGAAAATAAAAATTAATTTTATAATTAAAAGAGTTTAATAATTAAGTTTAAGAAAATAAAAATTTGCTTCAAGAAAATTCGTTTTATTAAAACTATGGATGGGTTGGATTATAAATAAACCTTTTAGATAATGTTTTAAAAAAAACTATAGTTAAATTTAGATTAAATGGACTAAAACATTATAGTAATAATAAAAATAATAATAAAAAAAATTATAAATATATATATATATATATATTTATATATATATATATATATATTTATTAATTTATTTTATATTTTATTTTATTCCAAATCAGACTAATCTTAAATCATTGATAATTTTGATAATATTATATAATTTCCGATTGATTATTTATAAAAATAAATATCTAATAATGTCAATTAAACTTTAGTTGATGAAATCAAATAATTTTAAATTTAATAAAACAAAATTATAGAGCTAAATATTTCTCAAAGTGTTTAGATTATTTTGTAAAAATTAGAAAAATAAATAATTTTTGAAAAAGGTAATGAATATAAATAATAATTAGAAATAAATTACTAAAAAAATGGTTATAATAAACTAAATAATATTATATATAATTGTATTGGAATTCTGAAAAGCTTGAGTATTTAAACTAATATTAACTTAACAAAAAACGAATACATTAATAATTTAGCTATAAGTATTTATGATTAAAATTTAGAGCATTTTCATGAAATTAATGAATTGATTTTATCAATTATAGACAAATAAAATCGTAATAACTAAAGGTGAATTTTTTTTAAAAAAAAATAAGAATAGTGAATATTTTTTTTTTATTTAGATAAAAAATTTTATATATATATATATATATATATTTTATTATTTTTTTTTCGAAAAATAAAATAAAAATAAAAAAATCTTTTTTTTCTTTTTAATATTTTTGTTAAAATAAAATATGAACAAACCAATTAAATCAATATTTTTATTTTTATATAAACAAACCAATAATGAAGCAAAATATAAAATTATTAAAACAAAGAAGACTTTAGATAAATACATAAAATAAATACCTTAACATGAGGTAAAAACATTTTAAAATGAGTATGAAGTAAATTTTTTCATAAGTAAACTTGATTCTTAAAATTAAGCAGTAATATAAAACTAAGAAAATAAAATAGAAGAAGAAATAAAAGAAAAAATCTAAGAATAAGCTTAAGTATAAAAAGAAGAAACATAATAAAATGAAAATAAATTCACTAAATTTGATATATATAAATATTATAATAATAATAATTATTAAGTGTTAGAATATCTTTCAAAATAAATAGTCCCTTAAAATTAATATTTTTTATTTTTCGATGGAGCTTGTAAAGGAAATCCAGGTCCAAGTGGTTTTGGATATTTAATATATGATTAAAAGAAAAAAATATATTAAGATTATAATAATTTGGGATATAAAACAAATAATTAAGCGGAATATATTGCACTTATGTATGGGTTAAAAACATGTTCTATTTTAGGAATTAAATATTTAAATGTTTAAGGGGATTCATTACTTGTTATTAAATAAATGAGCAAAGAATATGTAATTTTAAATAAGATTTTAATGTAATATAATAATGAATGCAATTAACTTTTAAAGAACTTTTTTATTTGTAATTTTAATAAAATTTCAAGAGAATAGAATGAATAAGCAGATAAATTGGCTAATTTAGGAATCAAAAGTTTTTAAAAAAAATGATATTAATAAAATATATTATAATATATATAATTATTTTTTAAAAATATAAAAATTTGTGTAATTTTATTCATTATATATTATTTTTTTAAACTTCATTTTAAAACTTTATGTTAATAATATTAATAAGATCTATTTAAGAAAAATTATTGAACTATTAAAAATATTTTTATTAAAAGAAATTAGTTTCACCTAAAACAATTTGATTTTTAAAAAGGAAATCTATTTCTAAAGAATCTAATATTTAAAAAATATGTTATAACCAAATCTAACTTTAACCAACATCTAAATATAATTATTTTTAAAAATTCAATACTTATTCAACATATTCTAATATTTTATTTGTGTATACCTTTTAATCTAATTTATTAATATCTTTAATTTCTTAATATATTTATATATCCTTTTAATATTTTTATAATCCTTGACATAAAATAAGCTTTATATTGATATTTAATATATAAAATATATATATATATATATATATATATATATATATATATATATTTATATATTTATTTTACATCTTCTTTCATTGTTTACACTAACCTTTTTGAATGGTTATATTCTTTTACTATTAATGAACTAAATGATTCATAAATAAATGTATTTTTGAATTCATAAATATCAAAATTAAGCCCTTTTAAACCACTTATTGTTTATATATTTAAATTTTAAACCTTTTTTTAAAATATATAAGATTTTAAAATAAAATTAGTTACAATATTTTTATTTAAAAAAGTGTTAAAATTATATATTTTTTTAGATAATAAAAAAGCAATCAATGGTGTTTCTTAAGTTAAATCTAATCTAAGAATTTACTCCAGTAATTAGTGGTAAAAAATTAGTTTATTTTTTCGTTTAATAAAATATTAAGAATTTATATCTAATCATTTTATACAATACTATTTTTTTCAGGACTCATAATTTCATCAATGCTATATTTAAGTTAATGTTAATTTAGTTTTTCTATATCTTCTTTAGTAAGTATTAAATCGAATAAATCTTACCATCCAATTCTTTTATTTTCATCTTTTTCAACCATTCTTTTTAAAAGATTTATTGTCTATTCACTAACATATATATCAGAAGGGATTTAAATATTTTAAATTTCTTATATTTTAATTAATTTGGCAATATCACCCTAAAATATTATTAATTATTTAAAATTAATTTTTAAATAAATATATAAAATATATATATATATATTTATATATTATTTATATATAAAAAAACATCATCATATAATTTCTTTCCAAATAACATAACATACAATACACAACCTAAAGACCATATATCAACTTTCATTGAATATTATTTCCCAAGTAAAATTTCAGGTGCTGTATAATTCGGTGTCCCTACTAAAGTATCAGTCCTATCACTTAATCTATCAAGTCTTTTGCAAAATCCGAAATCTGCTATTTTTATATTATTATTGTGTATAAGAATATTCATTGGTTTTATATCTCTGTGTATTGTATTGTTTTATACTATTGAATAAAATCCCTAAATTATTTATTTAAAATAATACATTGCCTCTTTTTCTAATAGATGTCCGCCTTTACTATCTAATAATTATTTCAAATTTCCTTAATTACAATATTCATAAATGAAATAAATATTATTATCAGTTTTTAGCATTTCTATAAATTCCACTATGTAAGGGTTACTTATGTTTGTTAAAACTTCTATTTCGTTCTTTATACATTCGTCTAAATTATCATATTCTAAAATTAATTAACGAGAAATTTCTTTTATTACTACAAGATCGTTTTTTAATAAATTATATCCCTTGTAAACTGTACTTTGACTACCTTGATATATTATTTCTTAAAGAATATAATTTTCTATAGCTTTTTATTATTGCATATATTTTTTTATTATATTTAATTTATAATTAGTGGGAAAATTTAATGTTTTGTTAATAAGTAAAAAAGTAAGTTTATATATTATTAAAATAATATATATATTATTATATTTCAGTCAGAAATCATATTTTTTTTAATTTAAATTTATTTTATATAAAGAATATAAAATTTATATAATTAAAATACTTGATTATGATTTAAATGCAAAAACGTAAAAATTTATAAATAATTTTTATAAAAAAAAAAAAAAAAATTATAATCATTATATAAAATATATAAAATATATATTTATAATTATATATTTATATATTTATATATTTATTTTTTTATATATTTATATATTTATATATTTATATATTTCATCTTTCTTAAAAAGTTAATTTTCTTTCTACAAAATCAATAATTTTTTATCCCCCTAAAGCTAATACAACATTCAATGTTTCTCCTAAATCTTGTTTTGAAAATATTACTGATTATTATAATTCTTCATTTTATGTTTCTAGTTATTTTATTTTCTATACATAGAAGTTTAATAAATTTTACATCTTTTTCATTTCTTAATTATATTTTAAGAAGTAATCCTTTTTAAAAAATTAACCAAAAATTAATTATAAATTTACCTGATTTTAATTAAATAATTCCTATATTTAATTAAAATTTTAAATAATTTTATTTTATTATCTTTCATTATTTTAAATTTATTAGTTTTACATAAAATTTTATAATTTATTAATTATATCTATTTTTAATGATTTTATTTATTATTATTATAAATCTAATATATAATCTAATTCTTTTTCATCTTTTATTAAACTTGAAAATTATTCTAATTTATCAAAACCATATTTTTCATTTTTTTATATTTCTAATTCTTCTTTAAGTTTTTAAATTTAATTTTTTAGTTCTATTTCACTTTTTTATAGTTCTTTTACTTATTCCATTTCTAATTTATACTATTATTATATTTATTTTAAATGTAACTCGTTTGCTTTATTATCATTTGCTTCATATAGGTTGTAATATTATTCTATATAATTTAATTTAGAATTTAATTCTTAATTTTGATTTTCTAAATTTTTTACTTTTTATTCATATAACTCAGTTATTTCTTATATTTTTTATTATAAACATATATTGGTTTCTGTTAAAATAACAATTTATTGTTCTCTCTATGAAATTTATTCTTAATTCTTTTTTTTAAAACAAAAAATAAAAATATATTTATATAATAAATAATATATAAATACATATGCAAAATATATATATAATAATATATAAATACATATAAAATAATATTTATATATATATAAATATTTAATTATATATATTACATCAAATGCATTTTATTTATTTATTTAATTTTATTTTTATTATTTATTTTTTTCTTTTATATCATCATTTGTATTTTAATTGGTATATTAATATATATTTTAATTTTGTACTCTATTACTTATATTTTATTAAATATTTTATTCATATTATGTGTTTATTTTTCTAAATTAAATATTATTTTCATCAATTTAGAAATTATTTTCATTTCCGTTTTTAGATTCTTAATTAAAATCCATTTAACTATTCATATCTGAATAATAATTATTCTCACTTCTTTTTACTTTATCATTTATTTAGTTCATAATTCCTTCAACGTTTTCTTGATCTTCTTCTTTTATAACTTATGTTGCATCTTAAAAGTATTTTGAAGGGCTATTTTCTTAATAATTATTTATATAATTATTAATAACAGAATCAATATTATATTTATTTTTATCATCTTGATTACGATAAGGTGAAGTACTAAAATTTGCTAATTAATTAAGCTTTTAAGATAAAGATTATTTTTATAAACTATCAGATTAATAATTAATTTTATTATAGGCTTGTTTTTCTTATATAATTTTGCTTTTCGAATCTTATATTTATTTTATAGTTTTATAATTATTCTTTCCTTAACTTTTTTCTCTATATTAATTATCTTTAGGAGTTTTTTGAGAAGAGTTTGATACACGATTTGGTGTATTTACTTATTTATTTGATATTTTACTTTTTGGAGTTAGTAAATAAGCATTTATGTCCATTTCTTTATTTTTTGTATATTATTTAGGCTTTTAAATATTTTCACTTATACTACCAGTTGCTTTTTTACGAGAATTTTTTTCATTATACATTATTTAATAATCATAACAATCAAATATAAATGAATTTTATACTGAATTTTCACAACTTTTTTTTTTTTAATATTCTTTTTATTATATATTTTTTTACAGTTTATAATATATTTCATATTAAATTTCTGCATTTATTTATTAATTGTTTTATAAGATATCTGTTATATAACTTAGTTTTTTTGGATTATTTAAAAAATTAGATAGGTTTATTTAGCATTTTCCTAATTTTTAACATTCTTCTTTTTCAAAGTTTTTAAATGTATGTATATGTAATTCGACCTTTTTTTTTATTATTTTAATGTTTTGTTTATTTTTTTACAAATTCATTATTATAATTTATTTTGCTTTTTTAAAATGCCTGTCTAAATTAAAATAATTCATTTATTTAACAAATATTCCCTTTTACATTAAATGGTACTATCCTTTTATTTTCAATTAATTTGTTTCCTTTTTTGTTTTGTTTAATTTGTTTGAAAAAAATTCAAATAAATTAAAAACCTTTAAATAAAGAAATTTAATAAAACATATTTTAAGGATTTATATTAAGATATAAGTTTTAGACGTTGATTTCAAAATCAAATTTAAAGAGCTTTTCTTAATTCATATATAAAAAAGTATTATTTATTTTATAATTTTTTTATTTATTTTATTAAATAAATACTTTAATATTAAATATTTTTTTTTTTTTTTAATATAAAATAATATAATAAACTTAAAAATTCTAAAAATATTTTATTTTATTTTTTTAAAAAAAAATGTAAAATTCGATTTCAATATAACAAAAATCAGACTTTTACTAAAATTAAAATTAATATTTTTTTCAAAATAAAGTTTTTTTAAACTTTCTATATAAATCTCATGAGCTTTATTAACATTCTCAACAGGCGGAATATCCTATTACTCTAACGAAATTCATTTCCCAATTACAGTATTAATTCTAACATAAATTCAAGAATTATAATAGCGGACATACTTCCAAAATAGAGTCAGTATTTATTTAAATTTATTCAAAAATAATCTAAATTTAAGTAAAATTTTCAATTATGTAATAAACTTTATTTATGGAGAAAATAAAACAAATATAAACATTATTTTTTTCATGTATTTGATAAATAATCTCCTGTTTTTAATATAAACACGTTCTTCGCTTTGAAATGTAAGTTTTACCTCTTCAAATTTACTTGGAATTAAAAAAAAAAAAATTATATTAACATTAATCAATAATTAAAGCTTTAAAACCCATAAAACTAATATAAAAATTTTTAAAAAGGTAAATAAGCAAATATACGGTATCATAACTCCCATTATTTAAAATGCTCTGAGGATGAAATTATAATAAATGCTTTTCTCTAATAAGGATCACTTCAAAATGTAAGTTAAATTGTTGATTTTTTTTTTTATGGAATTCTAACCATTTTAAAAAGGAAAGAAAATATTTATTTTTCTTGTAATTTTAAATGTATTAGTAGTATATTTGAATTGCTATTATTTAATGTTGATATAAACATATATCAAAACAAAAAATGGCTTTATTTAAGATTCATATTTAAAAATCGATGATTTATTAATGAAATTATCTGAAATTTTTAATTATTTAATTAATTTGAATATAATATTAAATTAAAAAAATTATAAATAAATAAAAATAATTTTTTAAAAATAAATTATTTATCAAAAAATACATATAAATATTGTAATTACATACATAATTTTTTTTTTAATTTAATGTTTTTTATCCTAATGTCTTAAATGTATTCTATTTTTAAAACTTTGTCAAAAAAATATAAATTTTAATTTAATTTTTTTTCAAATATATTAAGAAAAAAAAATTCTTCATACATTATAGATTTATAATTTTTTTTAATTTTTATTTTAAATTAAATAAATTATTTAATCTATAAAATTAAATATTATTAATAATACAGAAAGCATTATATCAAAATAATAAAAAAATGCATAATTATTTATAAATTTTTAAAATATATATTTATAATTAAAGTTTTAAATTAAAATAATTACATAAAATAAAAAAAATGATTATATTTATTAAAAAAAAAAAAATATTAATAAAATAAAAAATAATATATATTTATTAAATGAAATTTTTAAAAAAAATTTAAATGAATTAATAAATTTTTTAAGTTATATAAATATATTTTTATATATAAAATAATAATATGAATTAAATAAAATTTTAAAGAAAATTTTAATTAAAGAATAAACAATATTTTATATTTAAAAATAAATAATAATAACATATATTATATAATTTTAAATATTTATTCGTTTAAATATTTTATATTTTAAAATTCATTTAATTCAAAAACAAAAAAGATAAAACAAAAATTAAAATAATAAATAATCAATAAAAAAAATGTTTTAGATTGATAATGAAATAATATCACAAATGTTCGTTCCAGATAATATTTAATAAAACGAATCAATTAAAATATTGGAAAATTAATTAGGTGGAATAACCAAATTATAAAATGATTTAAAGACCGACATAAAAAAAGGAATAAGCACACGAAATCAATAAGAATTAAACTAAAGAATAAAGTATTTTGGCAAAAATGAATATCTAAGAAGGCCTCCAAAAAAAATGATTGAATTAATAATTGAATGTTTTGAAGATTTAATGTTATAAATACTTGTAGGTGCCAGTATAGTAAGTACAATAGTAGGAATCATAGATGAAGGTATCGTAAAAGGATGGATAGAAGGATTCACAATAATTTTAGCAATATGTATTATTGTATCTATAAGTGCAGGAAATAATTATATGAAAGAATTGCAATTCTAGAAATTAACAGAAAAAAAAGATGATATAAAAGTTCATGTGAGAAGAAATGAATAAACAATTTATTTAAATCCAAATAAAATTCTTGTTGGCGATATTTTAAATTTAGAAATCGGAGATATTTTACCTGTAGATGGTATTTTTGTGGAAGGAAATGAATTATAAATTGACGAATCTTCTATAACAGGAGAATCTGATTTGATTACGAAAAATTAAATTGATAAAAACCAGAAATCTTAAAATATAAATCCCTTTCTTATAAGTGGTTCTAAAATTATGGATGGTAAATTTAAGGTTTTTTTAAAATGCTTTTTTTTATTTTAAAAAATAAAAAAATTATACATATTTTTATTTTTTTATGTATGATAAAAGGTTAAGGAAAAATGCTTGTTTGTGCTGTCGGAGTTAATACTTAATTAGGAAAACTTAAAGAAAAATTAGAAGAATAATAGCCACCTACTCCTTTATAATAAAAATTAGAAACTATAGCTGAATAAATAGGTTTTTTATTAAAAAAAAATAAGTTTAAAATATTGTTTTTTATTTTTAAAGGAAAAGTAGGTACAGGAGTAGCTATATTAACAATGAGTGCTTTGCTAATAAATTTAATAATAGATATGATAAGGGGTATACATTGTATTGGATGTGTAAAAACATTATAAGATATTTTAAAAATATTCATGATTGGAGTTACTATTGTAGTTGTAGCAGTTCCTGAAGGGCTTCCTTTAGCTGTTACAATTGCATTGGCTTTTTCTGTAAATAAAATGAAAGACGAGAAAAATTTGGTCAAATAATTAGCTAGTTGTGAGATTATGGGGAACGCTAATAATATTTGTAGTGATAAAACAGGAACTCTTACTTAAAATTTAATGAAGGTGCATCATATGTATATTAATGATAAGCATTATGGAAGTTAATATTTTGAATATAAATATTTTCCTAAAAATATAATTGAGATTTTTGTATAGAGTGTGTGTGTAAATTCTACTGCTAATCCTCAAAAAAATTAGTATGATAATAAATTAACTTAAATTGGAAATAAAACTGAATGTGCATTGCTTTAGATTGTATAAGATTTTGGATTTGATTATTAAATTGAAAGATAAAGGGAAATTATTTTAAAAGTTTTACCTTTTTCTTCTTAAAGAAAATAAATGATTACTATAATTAAAGTAAATGAAAATCTTGCTAGAGTATATGTTAAAGGGGCTTGTGAGCAAATTCTCGAAAAATGTTCATTTATTTTATTACAAAATGGGGTTACATAAATATCATAAAATAAAAAAGAAATCATTAATAACGAGATTATTATTTAATATGCTGAAAAGTCTTTAAGGACTATTACTTTAGCATATAAAGATATACCTTTTAATTAAAACATTAATTAATTAAATGAAAACGAACTCACTTAGGATCTCATTCTTATTTCTATTGCAGGTATAAAAGACCCTTTAAGACCCGAAATTCGAGATAGTATAAAAAAATGTAAAAATGCAGGTATTATAGTAAGAATGTGTACAGGAGATAATGTATAAAAAATACATATATAATTTTTGTTTATATTAAAAAAAATAAGTTGAATACAGCTATTGCTATAGCCTAAGATGCAGGAATATTAGAAGATAAAATAATAAAAGAAAAAAGTGAAATCAGTTTATAAAAATAATCAAAATAACTAGGCTTTGAAGTACTTGAAGGTAAAAAATTTCGAGAGTTAGTCGGAGGCCTAGTATACGAAAATCCTCAAGGAAAATCGATTTAAGAAAAGGGAGAACCAAAAGTTAGAAACTTAGACGCATTCAAAGCTATTGCAAAAGAGCTTCGAGTACTTGCCCGTAGTTCTCCTGATGATAAATATATACTTGTAACGGGTTTGATTGAGTTAGGAAATATAGTCGCTGTGACAGGAGATGGTACAAACGATGCTCCGGCGTTAAAAAAAGCTAATGTTGGATTTGCAATGGGAATAGCAGGAACAGAAGTATCTAAAGATGCTGCTGATATAATTTTGTTGGACGATAATTTCGCTTCTATTGTCACTGCATGTAAATTTGGGAGGAATATTTATGATTCGATTAGGAAGTTTATTTAATTCTAGCTAACAGTGAATATTGTGGCTTTATTTATGTCGTTTATGGGAGCTGTAGTATTGAAAAAGAGTCCTTTGAATTCAATATAAATGCTTTGGGTGAATATTATTATGGACACATTTGCTTCTTTGGCTCTTTCAACTGATCCACCATGTGATTCTTTACTTAATAGAAAACCTTATGGAATAAATGATAAGATTGTGACTGGAAACATGTGGAGGAATATAATTGGCTAGAGCATATATTAGATAATAATACTTAGTGTAGTGTTATTTAAGTTCCCTGAATGGTTAGGAATTCCGAATTCTTTTTAAATGAAATTTTATGTGGAAAGTTAGGCTGTACATTTTTCGATTTTCTTTTAATGCTTTGTTATGCTTTAAGTGTTTAATGAATTTAATGCGAGAAAATTATTAAAATAGGAAATCAATATTTTTGATAAATTACTAAATAATTATATTTTCTGGGTTATTATTGGAATTACATTTTTTGTATAAATTATGCTCGTGTAAACCGGAGGAAGATACGTTGGAGTGTCTAGTATTTCTTTAGGATAACATTTTGTTTGCATTTTTATTGGATGTGGATCGCTTTTGGTAGGTGTAATTATCAAAATTATACCAAATCATGTTTTTGAAAGAATTAATTTACTAAGGGAAGATGAGATGGATGTGAAAGATATGGATTAGTCTTTTTCATCATTACTAAGGAAAAAAAGCTCAAACAGAATGAAAACTATTGCTATTTGATTATTTTTTTAAAATTAAATATAATTATTACTTTTTTTTAATTTTAGTAAATTATTTAATATTATAAATTAATTTATAAAAAATAATTTTTAATTATTCAAAATGTAAATCAAAAAAATATATCAAGATAATGTTTTATAAAATCATGATAATGTTTTATTAAGAATAAAAAAAAATATATATTTTATTATATATGTATTTATTTTAAATATTTGCGTATTTTAATTAATTAATTTATTAAATTATAATATTTTTTTTTTATATATTTAATATATTAAAATTTTATTTTCTTATAAGAAATTAAAAATAAATGAATTTATTCTATAATTTATAAAAAGTGAAATATATTTAATTCAAAATATAATATTTTTTTTTTATAAATAGTTTATATCTTTTAAAGAAAATGAAAGATTTTATATATTTTATTATAATTTCAAAATAATCATTTAAATACATTTTTTATTAAAATTATATATTATATTTTAAATCGATCAGTTTAATAAAAATAAAGAATTTATTTCAAAATATATTTTTTAAAATTATATGATTTGATGAAAAAATTTAAATATTAACAAAGAAGATAATGATAACTAAAATATTTATATCGTTCTTATTATTCCATTAGAATAAATAAATAAAAAAAATTAAAATAAAAAAATTGAAATTAAAAAGTAAAAAAATATACATTTAAAAAATGTTGTAATTAATTTTTTTAAACCTATTAAAAAAAAATTAAATAGTTTAGATATAAAAATATATTAAAAAGAAGTTTAAAGTAAAAGAAAAAATATAAAATATAAAAAAAAAAAAATTAAAAGATGATGTAAAAAAAATATTAAAAAAATTATTAAAGAATTAAAAATATATAAAAAAAAAAATATAAAAAAATTTAAAAAAAAAATGTAAATATATATGAATAAAAAACTAAATATATCTAGTTTATTAAAAATAAATATTAATTAATATATATTATAAATAAAATATCATATATTATATTTTATAAGTTTATTTGAACAATAATAAGAATTTTATAAAATTTTCTAATAAATTTATTAAGATATTTTTTAAAAAACATTAGTTAATCATTTTTATTATTTTATTTTTATTAAATTTATATTATATATTAAATTTATATATTATAAAATAAATATTGTTATAATTATATTATATATATTTTATATATATATAATATATATATTTTTTATTTATTTTATATTAGTAAAATAAATATTATTTTTTAAACATTCTCATATTTATATTATATTACAGTTAATTTTTTTTTTTACTTTTTTAATATTTTTTTTATATTATTTTATATTATATATTATAATATAAATATTAAAAAATTAATTTTTTTAAAAAAATATCTATTTGTATATAAAATTGATTATTAATTTTTGTATATTTTAAATTTTTTTTTTTTTATAAACTTATGTATTTTTTTTTTAAAGAAAAAAATATTTTAATTTATTTTAAAATCTATATTTTATTAATTAATTTTTTCTATGTTATATAAATTATAATTATTATAAATTTAATAAAACTTATATATATATATTAAAATAAACACATTTTAATTTTAAATATTTATAAATAAAAATAAAATTTCTTTTAAAATTTGTATTAAATAAATATATATCACAAAATTTTATTTCTTATTTCATCTAATTTTTTATGTACTTCAGCAGGAGTTCTTTCCATTTCTTCTGCCAATACTTTTTGTTTACCTTATCCGATCCTCATAAATTATTCACATAAATCTCCATCAATAACAGACTTTATTATTTAATTAATTTTTGATTTTTTAAAATATATATAATTTATATATTCAATTTACTTTAACAGGTCCATAAAATGCCCTAAACATAACATGATCCCTTCCAGCAAGAGGCAAAACATCTATTCTTAAATACATTTCTAAATGAACAAAAAAATCAATATCTTCTTTAGTTTAAAATGGATAAAAAGCGCCTATAGATCCCATGCTGGTTCCATAAATTATGCACTCATTTCCTGTAGAAACTAAACATGCTTTTTAGAAAGTTGTAACTACTTCTCCTACATAAAATTAGCATATTTATTCAGTCTAATTTAATATAAAAAATTTAAATTTTTTTAAAAAAAACTTTATAAGGTGCTCCATTCAAATAACCTGATTCCCATCTTAGTTTGTAAGACATTGGATTTTCATCCATTTCTTCTTCAGCATCTAATTAAATTATATATATATATATATTTATATATATATATATATATATATTATATATATATATATATATATATATATAAATTATTCTAAAATAAAATACTTTAAGGAATTCTACACACAAACATATTTTCAAATTTATCTCCACCAATATATGTACTATAATCCAAAACTTAAAATGCACTCATCCATCTAGGCAAAACATCATCACACACTTCATAAAATGTTTATTCTTTTTACTTATGTTTCATAATATGTACTGCGTCTCCCACCATAGAGACAAAAATACGATCTCCGAATGTTTAAATTCCATTAATAGGTGACTAGAGTCCTTTAACTTCTGACTTCTTAAGCAACTTTTTTTTTCCAATATCATAATATCTTAAGAAAGTTCCACACCCTGCCAAAAGCTTTCCTTTGTGTGCATGTAATGACCCTGGAATATCATCAACTTCTGTTTTATGTATAAGTTCTAATTTATTAGTACTTTCATTAAGTAAATAAGTATTAATATAGCACTAAGAAAACTCCCTTTTAGGATGCACTATATAATCTTTAACAGTCCCCACGCACACATAAGTGTCTTCACTATTTTCAAAGTTGCAAATACACATTGATATTGCATGTTCATTGTTTCTATTTCTATCAATTCTAGTGTTTCTCGAGTGATTGGCTCCACTATTCTTATACAAGAAGCCTAATTTCCAGAAGGAGCGACTAAAATATTTACTTAATTGGCTAAATCTTCATTTCCGGAATAGAATTTACTTATAAGAGTATTTTTTTCGCTTTCGCAATATACTTTATTATCAGATTCTATTATTATTAAATTATGTGATTTTTCATGTATAACCATTTTTCTTGGTGAATATCTTAGCTAAACTACTTATTAATTCAACATCTCCCCTAATTTATCCAAAGTAATTATTCTTAAAGAATCTCTGGAAGTTGCAACGATACCTTCTCTACATTCATTAGTGTTAAAAACAGCAGCATGGTCCAATATATCGTAAGAAAGTGGTACCATTTAATATTTATTCAAATAAGTATAACATATCCAAGGTCTCGTACTCAAAGCCAACAAAGCAGGTTATCCTTAAACTTAATATTTGCATGTTCTTACTGGCGCACCACTCAAAACACGAGTTCTGGTGTCTGAAAGAGAGCCTGTGATTTAATCTACTGAGGCACGTAATAAAATACCGTTTTTTAAACCTACGTAAAGGTAAAGTTAATATTATTCTGCTTCTTGTTCTAATCCGCTTCCTCTTTTCATTTCGATTAATGAAACGTTTTCGGCTATTCCAGGAAGGGCTTAAATGCTTATTTTTTATAAACATGTATCATTTTCTAATGATAAAATTCGTACGGAATGATCACTACAGCCTACAGATAAAAATTTAGATCTAAGAAAAAAATAAAAAATATAAAAAAATATTTATGCATTTACTTTTATCTTCCAAATGGTACTTCTCCTATATCCATGCATTCAATTTCTTCTTGAAGATTTGTTTTTGCAACTTCAATTAATTGTCCTGCGTAATCAAGTTCAAAGTAAATAATATCACCTCCTTGCAAAGAAATCGCGATTTATTTTTAATTAGATACAGCTTTGACAATTTTTCCTTCTGTTTTTAACTATTAAACTCTTTTATCTACTCTAATATGTCTAAAACCATCTGGCATTACTTAAATAATGGCATTATCTTCTAAAAGATTTGCATGAATAGTTTATTTATTCAAATCAATTCCTGAGTCAGTTACTTATTATACTCTATCAGAAATAGATAGCACTAAAGTTTATTTAGAAAAACTCAAAATTATATATTTAGAGAAATTTTCATCATATCTACTTTTTATAGTCCATATTCCTGTAGGAACACCGGGTAATCTAGAAGCTGCAACTTCATTTACCTACAATCCATGCCTTAAAATTCTTAAAGAACTTCTATATCCAGCTGAACATAATGTATATATTTATGGATGGCCTTCTCCTGTCAAATCGCTTACTTTAATATCGGAAATCGCTGATAGATTTTCAAGTTAATCTACTTATTGGAGATTTTTCAACTTTCTAGGGATAAATAAGACTGGCATTTTTTAATCTTAAGTTGAATCTGTTCTGACTGAGTTGGCTTCTTTTTCTCCTATGGACTTGAATCTGTATAATAAATGGTTCCCTTTTTCACAAGCAGCAAATAAATAACCATTTCGCATTACACAAATAGATATCGAAGGGGGTATAGAGTCAAAATATTACAAAGAAATACTATGAACATCATCTTTTGTACTTTAAATTTCTAATTTGAATAAATCTCCAAGTTCAGTTTATAATAAAAAAAAGAAAAATTCTTTTTGCTTGTGGAAACCAAAAGTATTTATCATAATTTTACTGTTTGTATCAGCAGAAAATCTCTTTGGAAATTAACATATACGCTCTCCCTTAGTACCTTTATATATTAAAAAGTCTTCACAGACAATTACTACACCTCCTGGACCTTCTTAACCTCCTGGAACTATATTTAAAATTAAATAAAAAAAAATAAACGAAAAACATGAAATAAATATAATTTAAAATACTTGAAATTAATAGGTGAGCGCTTTCAGGAACATTTTCAGAAGATTTTTTTACTACATGATTTAAACCAAAATCTAATTCATAAATTGTTAATTATTTTTATATTATTCCATTATTCATAGGAGAATCTTTTTAGTCCTTTTCTCCATAATCGCATTCTATACATGCAAATTAAGCATTTTCATAACCTACATCGATTCCGCAAATATCATAACATATAGTGTGTGATTTATGTGCTTCTAAAGGTGAAGATATAGTTAGTTTATCATTTTCTCTGTTTAATATAAATACAAACTTTTATTTTTCTAATGCTGCGATCATACATACTCTTCCTTTTGGATCTACTGCAATGTATTGACCTGGAACTATTCTTCTACAACCTGTTTTACCATATGTTTCTTAATGAAGTTTTTCGAATTCGCCCTTTTTTTTATTATAATTTAGAATTACAATTCGTCCACTATCAGAACCTATTATTATGTAATCTTTTTTAAACTTTTTTATTTTTTAAATAAATAACTATATTTATTTTTTTACACCAGGTAAACGAAAAGTTGAAATTGTTCTTATTAAGCCAAATACTTCTTCAGAATGTACAGTTTTTAATTTACCTCTTTTTTTTTATATTTTTATTTTTTGATAGACAAAAATATATATATATATATTTACGTTTCTTCGTCTGGAGATAATATTTCTAATATTTTGCCTTTTGCTACTGCTAATTCTTATGCTTTTGGACCTGAAAAATTACCATATATTGCTTTTACTATACATGTTGGTTATAGTAAAGTTAGACTATAAAGGTTCATCATTTTTTTATATAAATAAAATATTTCTTTTATTTTTACAAAAAATTAAATATATATATATATATTTTAAAAAAATAACAACAAAGATATTTTTTATTTAATATCAAAAAATATAATATATATTTTTTTAATTATTTTATTAATCATAAATATATTATCTTTAGATTATATGTTTATTTTTTTTTAACTTCTAAATTTTTGATAAATTATATGCCATGCAACTTTTGCTTTCCACCTAATTTTTTTATATTCACTTATTATTACTTTTCCCGCCCGGAATCTATTTGATTCCATTTTATTAGCTAAATTAACATCTTTTTGCTATAAATCTTATTTTATAATTACTCTAATATCTATTTTGTAAAAAAAAAAGATATAAAAAATATTTAAAAAATAAAGACTGCTAAAATTCCTATTATCATATTCAAAAAAGGGTAGTACTTTTTATTTTATTTATTGATAAAATCATATATTAACATGTTTTGAATACACTTTTGGCTTATATTTTTTTTTTATGGTTAGTATTACTTTTACTAGCATTTATAAAACTCAAAACAAAATTAAAATCGCCTTTTGTATAAAATTTAAATACAGTGTTTTTACATTAATTTAATCATTCAAATAAGTAATATAATATAACTTATACTTTTATTGATATATTACTTAATTTGAAAATTCTATTAACCTTTAATATCAGCAAAAAGGGCAGTTATATGTTAAAATTAATTAGTTAAAGTAAGTTTATTATGTATGATTCCTTATTTTCTTAAACTATTTTATTCCTAAATATTTAAGTATTTATTGATAAAATAAATTATATTTATATTTTTTTAATAAAGCAAGTAATAATTAATAAAAATACTTTTTTATTCTTTCTTTTTTTTATTTTTTTTAAGAGGATTAAAATTTTTATATTAATTTTGTACATTTTTAAAATTTTTGCATTTCAACGAATTTTTTTTTTATTAAAAATAAATAAGAATAATAAAAAAAGAAAACAATTATAATTAAATATGTTAAATACTTATATATTAAAAGTTTTAATGATTATTAATATCGAATTTTATTTTATTAAATATAAAATTTCAATTGTCATAATTTAAAATATAAAGTAAATTAAAAAAATTATTTAAATTATAATTTTTATAAATTTAAAATTTATTTATTTAACGTTTTTATAGAAATAAATTTAATTTAATTTTATATAATATTTTTATAAAATAAAAACATATTATTTAAAATATTCAGTTAAAATGTATACACTCTATATTTGAACGAAATTCAACTAAAAAAATATTGAATAAATTTTTAAATTAAGTCGATATTAAAATTTACTTAATAAGTAATATACGAACCATATAAAAAAATTAAAGGTAATTTAGTAAAAAAGTAAAATCTTCGCATTCCGTTTAACATTTAAAAAATTCTCAAAAATTCCTAAAAGAATTAAATATGAAATTAATTCTCATTATTATTTTTTTTAAATATAATAAAAATGTTTTGATTAAACATATAATATAATAAAAAAAGGATAAATAAAAAAAAATTAAAATTGTAAATAATAAAAATTTAAGAATTATAATTATAATAATCTTATAAAAATTTAATTTAAAAATATATATTTAAAAAACCATATTATGATGCATTTTATACAAAAAAAAAGATAGATATATCAAATTAAAAAAATCATTATTCAAATAATATAACAGTAATTATATATTATTTTTAAAATATTAAAAAATGATTATATAAATCTGCAAATTTAACTTAAATAATAAAACAAGAACTGAGTATAAAAAAAAAATTATATATTTTTAAATAAGTAAAACAAATAAAAAATCTTAAAATTTTTATTATAATAAAAAAATATAAATAAAATTAAAAACAATAATAATTAAACTTTTAATATTTTTGTTTTTATGAGTTTATTTTTTAATTAGAAATCTCTATTAATATTTAATAAATTAAATACAAATTCTAATGTATTTTTACGAATACAAATCATTTTAAAATATAAGAATTTAATAATATTTTCTTTTTTCTAATCATAAATATAAATTTTTATTTATTAATTAATAAGAATAATTTTTTTATATATCTAATATTTTTATATATTTTTTATATTCTTTTATTTTAATAAAAGTAATGAAATTATAAGAAATCATATAATTTAAAGAAAATAATTTGGTAGTTTTTATTTATTTATTTTAAAAAGAATTATTTATAATAAAGATTGTAAATGATTAAGAATTTTTAAGCTATATATAAAAAAATAAAGTTTAGTAATGATTAAAAGAAAACGTAAATAGAAATTGTTTTTGAAACAATTACATAATTATAATATTATTTATTACATATATTATCTTAGTAAGAAAAGTTTAGTTGATTTTTTAATTTTCCTATTAATTTAAAGGTTGTAAAAAATCTTTAAAAGAAATTTTATTAAATTCAACTTTATTTGTAAAACAATTTTATTATGATTATTAAGTATATAAAATATGTTTTCATAAAGTTTAAGAGATCCTATAAAAAAAAAACACATTTACATAGTTATAGAAAATTCAAAAAAAAGATTAGAAAGTGAAAAAACTATGTTTACTATGAGTAAAAAATATATTTATAATTATTAAATAAATAATTATAATTTTATATTTTAATATGCTTTTCGTAATCACGTATGATTTCTGTTTTTAATTTTTTAAAAAATACATTTGACATTTTTTCTTTATTTTAAATTGATATAGTAATCTAGATTATTATAAGTTTCTTTTGGAGGATATATGACTTTCATTTTTACGTAAATAAAGGCTTATTACTGTATTACACATGGATATTTTAAGTTTATGGATACTTCTTAAATAAAATAATTTTTTTTAATTTGATATTAAGAATTCAGTTAATAAAAGTATCAATTTATATTTAAAATAAGTTTTTTTTTTATAAAATTATTAATGTATTTGTATTTTTATATATTATAAAAATTATATAGTTATATTTTGGTTGAATTGTTGCTTTTGTTAATTGTTTGCTATTTATCAAATGGAAAAAGATTTTTTATATTTAATATCAAAATTAATAATTAAATTATAAAAAAAAAAACTTAAAAAATTATTTTTTAGTTTATAAAATCACAAAAGATCTTACATATAAAAAAGTTAAATAATTTAATCTATCTTTTAATAATAAAAAAATCATTTCAATAATTAGAGTTAAATTTATTTAGAATCATCATTATCAACAATATTATTACTGTATTTAAAATCTAAATTTCTATTTAAAGTGCAAAAAGGCATAGTATATGCGCATACAAAAGCAATACAACTAACAATAGCAAAACAAGCAAAAGGATAATATATATCAAATTCAATTAAATAAAAAATGAGATAAGGAATTAAACACGATCCCATCCTTCCAGCACATCCACACATTCCAAAGCCGATAGTTCTAATTAAAGTTGGATAAAGTTCTGTTGTAAAAGGATATAACATAGCAAAAGATAATTTCATGAAAAATCTTGCTATAGAAGTAAGTAGAGAAAAATAGGATGTTTTTCCAGCCAAAAAGCACCAACTATGAAAAATTATAGAGAAAAAAAAGCCTATTGTAAGCGTATTTTTTCTGCCAAATTTTTTCTAATCAATTAAAAACATAGAAAGCAATATAGAAGGTGCTTCTCCTAATATTGTAAGGAAATAGTTCGCGAAAGACTTATTCGATTTTCCTAAAACAAAAGGCATAATTATAAGCTGACCATAGTACATCGTATTCTCCATAAACCAAATTGTCCATATTCTTGCAGTAATTCCGATTAATTCTTTAGAAAAAAGTGCTTAAATATTAGCTTATTAACCTTCTTTATAAATACTTTTAGACCACAAAATAAGCTATTACTTTTCTTCATTTGTCAATTCTTTATATTATTTTGTTTTTTAAGTATTAATTTCTATAATTTTATTTATAGTCTCGAATCCTCTTTCATACTACAAAGAAGCCACTAAAAATCTCGGAGATTCCAAAATAAATTTATTGGAAATAAGGAATACAAAAAGTGAAGGAAATGCAGAAACAAGCATCATCAGCCTCCAATTTCCTTAGTTAAAATTAGTCAAAAACATATACGCAAGTACACATCCAAAAAGTTTTCCGATAGAAACGGAAAAGTTCAATAAAACTAATAATTTCCCTCTGTATATTTATGGAGTTATTTCACTTAACATGGAAGTGGTTAATGGGATGGAAAAACCACAGGTTATCCCATATAAAAAACGAAC